CAATATATCTGTAGATCTTAGAAATGTTTATATCTGAAAAAAAAATATTTTGTATTTGGCCCGATATATTTTAGAAATATTTGAAGAATTTTAGAAATGTTTTATAAGTGTGATGTTTGTATTTGGCAAAAAAAATAAATTGTATTTGGCCCGGTACATTTTAGAAATGTTTGAAGATTTTAGAAATATTTTATAAGTGTTATTTCTTAAATATAAATAAACTTGATCAAATATATGTCTTGAAGTAAATGCTAGACAAAATATAAAAGCATCCTAATAAGTTTAAATATTAGTAAGATAATCTATTGATGTTCTCCATTGGTTGTGCCAAATCAATACTTAGTTTTGGAGATTTATAATAGCTTTGTAGTTAGCTTCCTCCAAAGGTTATACGCTTAATTGTTGGAACTATTTCTTCCAAAAGTTTATAGGTAGTAAAATATTAAAAATATGATTTTGAAACTGGTTAATTGTTGAAACTGATTGATCACAAACATGAGAATGAAAATAATGTAAATTTGTATAGGTTTCAAGATATAGCAAAAAAGAACTCACCTCACCATGGCAAATAAAAAAAAAAAAGGTAAAAGATAGCCCATTAAAAGTTGAGAATTTTTATTTTTTTCTGTAGGTAAAAATGATGTATAAAAACACAAATAAACGTAGAAACATCATTCCTTCCCTCTCCACCTCAAATTCATAAAAGGATTCTCCATAAATTAGTTAAAAGAAGCGACCTGAACTATTTATATGATGAGGAACTAAAAAAAGTCCAAAAACCAAATCCAAAAAAATATATTCTTGAAACCCCGAACATAAAAAAAGAAACGTGCTTCATTTGCAAATAATAATATAATAATAATAATAATTCGTCAACTGGGAGTATGAAACAAAATCAAAAGTAATTAAACAAAGAAAAAACACACTTCATAATTGGCCATATACGAAAAAAAACCTGAGACTCCATAATTAAAAAAAGAAAACTACTCTAATTGAATGAAATATAAAAAACAAATTTAAAAAACCACACTTTGTAACAAAAACCCAATCAATCAATTCAATCCAAACATAACTAAAATCATACAAAAATTATAGGCTAACTAACCAAATAAGAAATCACATCATACTACCTGACAACGGCTACGGTAGCTGTAACGGATGGACGCATAAAAATAATAGTAATAACACTATTCTTAAATGGGAAAAACAAAAAATAATAAAAGCCAAACCAATGATCTGTGGAAATAAAATCATTTAAATTTTAATACCTGTAATGGCACCATCACAACAGCCGAAGCAAGATCAATGAGAATTTTTTTTCACTTTATGTTTATATAGAGAGGTAAAGAGAATAATTTTTGAAGTTGAAATTTTATCGATTAAGATGTAGTTGATGATCACTAATGAAAAGATTCAACATACTAATAGGAAAGGAGTATATTTCACCATATATTCTCAATTCATGATTGATGATGAATTTATTTATTTTTTAATTATGGAGAAGGGATTGATTAATGAGTCGATTGTCGTGGAGATGGGGATGAGGATTTGGGTTTTTTATGAACCCGTGGTTTTTTTGTTTGTTTGTTTGTTTTGACGAAAATAGGAGGCAGAAGTGAATTTAGACTGCATTTGCCTTTTAAATTTAGGAGATGTGGTAATAAAAATTTATTTTAAAAATATGATGTGGAAATGCCACATGGCAAATGATTGTACTTTCTCTTAAGTGTGGTTTTTGTTTCTAATATAGTAAGAAATTGGAGTGGAAGACTAAAAGGGTAATTAGCTATAGTTTTTTTTCTTTATTTTTTTTTGGGTACTGATAATGTGTGGTTGGCTTGGGGTATTTATAGTGGTATCTCTGAAATTGTTTATATTTAATTAGATTTCCGCACTTTGAAAGTTCATAACATTCTCTCTGTTATTGCAATATGTTTTTCTATATCACACTACATAAAGCGCACCTAGCCAAATTCTCAAATGCTATGATTTTTATTTTTTTTTTCTAGCCCAAAAAAGGCTTTTGCATGCGCGTCACCTTAAAAGCAATTAATATTTTTCTATAAATTGAAAATGAAATATTTTTCTGATTCCTCTCCATTCAACCAATATACCAACTTTTGTTAAATACAACGAATTTTATAAGTTGTCAACAAGGTTTTCATATTGACTGTATAAACGAGGTTTCATAATAATCACTTTACAGGATTGCATTAGATTGGTTCTTTGTATGGGTGAAAAGGTACCATTTTTGAGTGTATAAGAGACTTCATAATGTTCACCTTACATTCTGTATGGGCGAAAATGTAATTTCAACTTCAAGAATACCAGTCTCAAGTTTAAGTAAACAATATATAATTATTTAATTTTTTAAAAAAAAGAAGAAGTAAACATTATATAGAAAAAGTATCATTATTATCATATTATCAAGTATCATGACCACTGACAAAAAAAAAAAAAAACCGAAAAATCTATTAATGAAATAAGATTGAACCCAAATTAAGTGACAAATATTTCATTTGATATCCCACCCAGATTAACACTAGATCCTATTCTATATATGAATAATTCGTGTATTATGAAATCTATTCGTATAATCATATATTTCATGTAAACTTCATATTATTAAATCTCTTATCTTTTCCATGACCGCCTCATTTTAATAATTTATTTTTTCTTTTGAATACAAATGAATTGAAAAGTTTATCATCACAAGATGAGAAATAAATTCTGAAATCGAGTTCCAATTTCTTTCAAATTCATGCTTACATTTTACATTTTGAGCTTAAACCTTGTAAACACAAAAATGTAATAAAAATAAATGTCCATTAATCTACTAATACTTATCAAAAGCGTTTAAGTAATAACCAAGGTGTGTTTTAACTTTAGCTTTGACAAATCCCCAATCCATTAATGTTTGGCTTGCTATCTTTTATATATATATATATATATATATATATATATATATATATATATCTATATATAAAAGAGCGGCTAGAATCTCGTTACGGGACGGTTCCGTTTAGGATAATAACCATAAGATTAATTAGGTTAATTAATAATGGTAGGATTAAAACGAGGGTACATCATAACTAAATGTACCTAAATCCACCTTATTAAATAGAAAAAGTTTAGAGGAAGTGAGGATTTAGTCCCAAGATTTGGGGAATTAAAATAATTTTATCTCAAACTATAGAAAATAAGGAAATTAGTCCCAAGGTTCGAACTTATTTGGTTCCACCAGCCTAAATTTCACCCCGACAACCATGGGAAATCAAATTCCGGCAAATTTCTACTTTTTTTATTCCAAAAAATAACATGCCTCACATTATATATCAATTTTGTTTTCTATTTTTCCATGCTACTCTCTCCACTACATACCACCGCTCTAATTTTCCATGTCAACCTTATTGGATTCAACAACGACGATGACCTATCCATTGGACAAGAAGTCCCATCCGATTTAATCCAGGAACAATTTGACCCTCTGTCATGGTTGAACCGAGAGTGAGCATGAAGTTTTCCTAGATCTTGACTTGTAATGCCAGGATTAAATTGCGCTTGCACGGTGGTCTTGGATGATAGAATATGGAAATACCACAATGCATCATGTGAATAATACTCTCTTTCATTGGAGAAAGGGAGACAAAGCGTCTGATTTGGGCTGCTATTGAGACTGAGGAAGAGAAAGAGGAGGGAAGCCGTCGCTTTTTTTCTTTGCTTTCGGCAACATCGAATGAATAATGTCTTTCAAAATGTTATCAATTGTAGTACAAATAAAAGAGTGGGATTTTAAGGTATGGTTTAACGAATGACGGTAATATATGGTTTTCGGATCATATGAATCGATGGTTTTTTAAGATTCAATCGATGGTACGGTTATTGAAATCGTTGGAAGCAGCGGCTATGGCGAAGTCGTCGTTGGAGGAGAGCTGTTGCACATATTTTGATCAACAGCTGAGAACTTTTGAATTTGTGGCTGGGGAGGTTATTTCATGAATCTGATCAGATCAGCAAAAACTCAATGACCATCCGGTCTAATCGAGTTTCATCATAGTAGAATTTAGGTGAAAAAAAGAGCATGTTCTTCTTTTAATGAATGATGGATGGTTCTGTGTTGAATATGAGAGCATAATTAACTCACTCCAGTTTTGCATTGGCCAAGTACTTGAGATTTGATCAATTTGAGTCCTTTAACTGATTTTGCATATATGAAATTTATGTAGCTTCAGTTTGCAAAAAAAAACAAAAAAAAAAAAAAGGTTTGGAGTTTTAATTGTTAAGGAAGAAGATTCGGACAGAAAAGACAAGGAGGAGTGGTGGGGGTGGTGTTTGACCGCCGTCTCTGACGGAATTGGGCGAAAAAGACAGTTCTTTCGTATTTTACTTTTTTTCTTTCTCTTTTTCTTTTTTGACTTTTTTACTCTGTTATAATTATTATGTATTCAGTAGGTTATGATAATTTTAAATTTTTTTTAAATAGAAACAATTTAAGATTTTTTTTTAATATTATTCACCCCATAATTATATTTTATATTCTCAATATTGATTGGTTGAAGAAAAATAAGACGGTTTCGTAAAAAGACATACAAGACTCTAGATTTTTTCTATATATATATATATTATTACCTACTACTCTACCCTACTATTCCTCCCGCTAATTCCATCCTAAATTACTTCTCTTGTGCACTTGGTAAGAATCGATCTTGGGGTTTCTGAGAGAGTTCTTCCTCCAAACTATTTATTAAATATATAATGTTTTAAAATAATGTTTGAAATAAGTTTTAAAAGATAAGTTAAAATGTAGTTTGGAAAATTTATTGGCTTTTGTGTATAAAAGGAAAACTGAATTGCCATCCAAACAAGCCCATCATTTCTTGGCGTTACCCAAACTATTTGAGAAATTGGTTCATCAAGCCCATAGCTACAAGTGCATCATGGTGGCCCATTGCCTCAATACCGTTTTCAAATGTACACAATCTGCACAAAGGTACCACCTTCTTCCGACGTCAGTTCAGTACACAACAAGCTATCCACCTTCCATCCCATTCCACCCCCACTTGGACTATTTCTTCTTTCAAAATTATCCATCCACGTGGATAAATCCATGACGTCAATGATCCCCACACGCGAGATGAATCCCAGCCGTCCAAAAGAGCGGGATAAATTATTTCATTAATCGAAGAGACCCACCCAATAGTAATCCGAAACGTCATCAAAAGCTGAGCCGTCTCAGAGAAGTCTTTTCAGTTTTTCAATATTGTTCCCTTTCTTCTTCTTCTTCTGAGCAATCGAAATCCAACAATGACGCCCAGGAAGAGAACAACAATGGAGCCCTCAACCCGGGTCACCCGGAGTTCGACCCGTACAGTAAAACCCACCATCCCACCACCAAAATCACCTCTTAAGAAGAAAGCCAAAAAATCCACGGACATTTCTAAAGAAAAAAAAGTCAACTTCAGTTCCTCTGTTTTGGATGGGTCGAAGAAGAAAACCATCATCGTGGAGTATTGCAAGCAGTGCAACGCGTTCAAGACGAGGGCTTTGTTTGTGAAGGATGGGCTGGAGAAAGGGATGGATGGGGCGGTGAATGTGGTTCTGAATCCGGAGAAGCCCAGAAGGGGTTGTTTTGAGATTAGGGAAGATGGAGAAAATGGGGAGAAGTTTATCACTCTTTTGGATATGAAAAGACCCTTTAAGCCCATGAAGGATCTTGTCATGGATGAGGTTGTTTCCGACATCCTTGACAAGATTAAGGGATGATTTTGGGGGTTGGATTTAATTAGGAGGAAATAGTCAGATTTTTAATCGCTGTTTTATGCTGGAAAGATTCAGTCTTTGGCAGGCTTCTTTGGTACTACTTTGGGGGCTAATTTTGACTTGCAAGAATGTCTTTCAATGTCCTCATTTTGCAATTGAAGTTAGCAACGATGGAATTTGTCTAACATTGTTTTTCTCTTTTGTGTTTTAATTGTCATGTTAGGCCCTCATTGTTGTTATCTGCGGGATGATTGAAATGGAAATTGAAAATTGAAATTTATATTGATTCTGGGTTAACATTTAAGATTTGAAGAACTACATTGCTTTGATGATTGTAAATCTTCCTTCAGTCAGGTTACCACCACTATGGATTCTCATAATTTTTAAGGGATTTTCAATTTTGGGTTAGGTCTTTCCGGATGGAAGCTGAAGCTTTTAAACTTTAAAGCCTACCAAAAAATGCCATTGGAAGAAGTTCATAAGCTGGAAGCAAAGCCCAAGCCGTCCTGGTCCTCTTGGTGGTGGAGTTACTTGTAAGAGCTGAATCCAAAGTAGTGTACAAGACAATTCTAATCCTTTTCTTATTACAGAAATGAGAGGAATCTATAACTCAAGACAATTATGGGCACAAGAAATATTTACAACATCATTCTAGCATAACTCTGAAATAGACAGCTGTGAATCACTTGAACCTCCTTTAGCCACTAATTAAACTTTGTAATCCGCTAAAAATTTGCTTTTCAAAAAGTATGCAAATATTACAATTGATCGATTTTTAGGCAACCATATAAATCGCCATGAAATTTACTTTTCATGAAAACATGCCAAACTTACGGTCCAACGAAAGTCAATATGCATATATTGTGACACCCTCACAAAAGTATAAGGCTATCAGCACTAACCATCCTGTCACTCCAGTACAAAAGCATTTTTGAATTCATCTACTCCAAAATTTGTATTACATAAGGTTAATAATCGTAACTTATTCAAACGTTCAATTATCCATAAGTTAGACGGCCTTATTTTTATCAACTGATACATAAAAATGAATTAGACATATTAACTTATTATAAGCCAAAACATGATCAAACTGATGAATAAATCACAATATGACATATCTTAAACTCGATGGATTATTTTTTTGGCCAAAAGCACCTAACAGTGTTGGCCTGCTACAGGATCTATTCAGGAAAAAAGAAGCAAATTGAAAAGTTTGTAGTTTGTGTGTTTTTAGGATTTGGGTCGTGCCCTAACGACTTGAATGTTAGGTTTTGTCGCGAGGTTGAGGTTCAACCATTAGTATTATTTTTGTTTGTGTTTTAATATAGCTCTCTTTTCTTTTTTTTGGGGTGGGGGGAGGAAGAAAAAAGAATTCTAATGTGGCTATATTCTGTTGCACACCAAATTTTCAAAATTGTTATTTTGCAGTACTCATTACGGACAAAAGGGAATATTTCTTCTGTATCCCTTTTAACTATCTTTTTCTTATTAAATTTCAAAAGTGGTCAACTAGATTATTGGTATTGTAACTATGCAATCAACCAAAACATTCCTTGTGTTTCTAATGTGAAAACAATTTCAATTTTAATTGAGTATACGTAATAAAGGGATTACAGAATCCTGTAAATTATGTTTAATTGCTCATGTACATTTTGTTTTGTTGAATGTTGTCATGCATTTCAGTAATTTGGTTGTTCTACCATTGATGTTTGTGTGTTATAATTTCTTTCAATATAATATTCTATTTGGTTAAAAACATTTTTATTTATTTATAGTATCACATACTTCATCATGTACTCATAATTAAATAATAATTATGAGCTCTTGAATAATTCAAAAAGAATATTAAAATCATTTAAAACAACTATTACTTTGCAAAGAATTTAATTTCATAATTAATTTTGAAATATATTACACACGTTTGAATATTGTAAAATTTTAAGTACTTGAATAATACTCCCTCCATTCCAAAATAAGTATCCTCCTACACTTTGCACATAGTTTAGTTTAAGAAACTCTTAAATAGGGTAATAAAATTACTGGAATATCCTCAACCAATCCCATTATAAAATTGTCCACCAATAGCATCAACTCTTTTGAGGGTAATTTTGGAAACTTTTGACAAAAAGTGCATTGAAATATGAGAACGACACTTATTTTAGAATTTCTCCATTTTGCTAAAACGACACTTATTTTGGAATGGAGGGAGTAATAAAATATAATTACATGGACCAATAAACACAAATGAAAGGTTTGGGAATCGCCTTTGCCGCTCCGACAGTCAAGCAACATTTTAATTGCGCTCCTGTATAAGCAGTAGTAGTTTGCTACTCTGATTTGTTGATCTGCTGTTGAATTGGAGCGAACTTTCAGCAAATTTTTCGAGAGATGATGAATTATATTAGGGTTATTCTCATATAGAGAAGGGATGAAATCCGTATAGCTACTCCACTATCACTTTTCAACCCTATTCATGATTATATTATCACAAAACAACCATTTTGATGTGAGAATATATTTTTCTCATCAGGTAACAAAGTATTGAGGGCATAATACTGAAGAGAAGAAAATTCAGGGAGAAAAGAGAAATGAAATAGAAGGTGAAACCCAACGGAATTTACCACTGTAATTAGTAAATAAATGAACAGAGGAGGTAAAACCCTAAAGGTAAAATCCTAAAACCCTCACTTCTCCACCCTTCGCATTTGGAGACGAAGAAACAACAATGAACTACTCTGCCATTTTCCTGCTCCAAAGGCGTTCAAAGCCGACGCCATCCCTCCACCACAGCCTCGCCTTCCTCCGATTCATGGGCGGAGGAGCCCGAACTTTTCCGGGTGGACTGAACAAATGGCAATGGAAACGCCTCCACGAGAAAAAAGCCCGAGAAAAAGAAAAACGCCTGCTTGATCAGGAAAAGCAAATTTACCAGGCCAGAGTTCGTTCCCAAATCAGGGCTAATCTCTCTGCTTCGCAGAATCCCAGTTCTGGGCTCGACCCGGCTCAACAGAGCTCCGATTTCGGCCCTGTATCGCCTCAAGAACACATTAAATCCCTCGCCGATCGGTTTATGAAAGAAGGCGCTGAAGACTTGTGGAACGAAGATGATGGTCCAATTAAAGCTTCTGCACCGCATTTGTCTTCGAGGAGAGTCACTGGTGAGCCTATTGACATACGAAAATTGATTTCTGAATATCATAATTTTTCAGATAGTGGTGTTAATAAGAGTGGGAACCGGAATACTTCGCTAGATAATTCTTTTAGGGGTCGGAATTTTTCCAGTGGTTCTGCCGGTTTAATGCGGTGGTCTGGACATAGTTTGAAGGTTCACTCTGGAACTGGGATTTTGCCCCATTCAAATAATTGGTTGATCCAGAGACGCTTCTTATGGGATATGGGGAGATGGATGAGGTTGGGAATAGATGGAAATTGCGGCAATGGAAGTAGCATTTCTATGAATTTGGATAGTCTAATGACATTGAGACGTTATTCTGTGGACACAAGAAGTCCAAAGAGGCCTAAAAAGAAAAAAATTAAAAAGGTAAGACATTTTACAACAAATGAGAGTTCTTCAAGTGAGGATTGTTCAGATTCGGAAGTTAGTGAGGTTGGTTCATCAAATTATGGAAAAGTTAGGTGGCCAAGTTTTAAACATAGTATAAATGGGAGTAATTTGTCTGATTCTGATACAGACAATGAGGGAAGCCGTGACGAAAGGGGACATGGGGGAAAGGTGAAGGGGATGATGAGCAGTGCTGCACTTGGGAAGCATGATGTGAAGATAAAGAAGAAAGTGCCCTTGGAGTTTGTTGAAGACGAAGAGGATGTGTCACAACAAGTAGAGATGATCCGTTACCAGCTCAAGAATAGGCATCTTGAGGAACCTGAAGTGGGAAAATTTGAGGAGACTATTTATAGTACAAAAAGGTACTTTAGCAATCCCTTATTTGTGAAATGGCATTTGATTTTGCTTTTATGGGAATGAATTTCTTGTCACCAACTGTGACTATTTGAGGATCTTTTTTCTTGTTAGGTTTGATGAGTATGAAGTCTCCCGTTTGACTGTTAAGGCCCTTAATGAAGCTGGTTATGTGCAAATAACCAGAGTTCAGGAGGCTGCACTCTCTACTTGCCTCCAGGGTATGCCGATGTGATTTAAGAGCATTTCGTTGATATTTTGTAGATTTTTTTTTTTTGAGGTATAGTTTGTGGAACACTTGATCAATCTTTGATGTTGTTACCTTTTATACACAAAAAGTTTCCATGTCATAAATGTATTATTTTTGGTAAGAACGGAAGGTAAGTGTAGTTGTGACTCTGACCAACTAAAGGGAATCTTGGCTGCTCTGATTTTTCCAAGTGGTTGACATGAGGCTGTAGTTCGATTGATCATTTTGCTTGTCTAGAGCTCACTTAGCTGTTTTCATAGATAACCTTATTTTCTGAGTTTCATGGTTGTTTTAACTTGTCTCGTCTCTGCTGAAATACGGCTAAGGGAGTGACTTTCTAGGCCTTTTCTTTTCCTCTCATTGCAAAGTTCGCTTTGCCTTGTTTATTTGTGAGATGTGATCTAAACTATGTCCATTTTTATCTACAGGCAAAGATGTTTTGGTTAAAGCTAGAACTGGCACTGGCAAAACTGCTGCCTTTCTGGTATGCTAGCAATCCCTTTGTAGGTAATCTTGACATTATAATCTGGCCTTCATGGTTCTACATTTCATAGCTATTGAATGAAAACAGCTTCCTGCTATTGAAACAGCTTTAAAGGCATCAAATAACAGTTCAAACCAACGGATCTCTCCAATTCATGTTCTTATCTTGTGTCCTACTCGAGAACTTGCAAGTCAGATAGCTGCAGAAGCTACTGTATTGCTGAAGTATCACGATGGCATTGGTGTGCAGACACTAGTTGGAGGAACACGTTTTAAGGTTGATCAGCAACGCTTGGAATCAGAACCTTGCCAGGTCCATTCTTATTTGGAAGTCTTAACTTTTTCCGTATGGAAACTCATTTTTGGGGCTCTAATACTGGGTTTCAGATCTGTATAATTTCTTACTAAATAGAAACCACTGTGCAGATAATAGTTGCAACTCCTGGTAGATTGTTGGATCATGTTGAGAACAAGTCTGGAATATCTGTACGTTTAATGGGACTCAAGATGCTTATACTTGATGAGGCAGACCGATTGCTGGACCTTGGTTTCAGGAAAGACATGGAAAAAATTGTTGATTGCTTACCTCGACAGAGACAGTCCTTACTCTTTTCAGCCACAATACCAAAGGAGGTCAAATCTCTTCCTTCTTGTGTAATACTTGGGCGACAGAACCTTCTCTCTGATTTCTATTCTTTTGTGCATTGATGAAATTTAAGCATATAATTGCAAAGATCTTTTGTACTTCATTTATCAACAAGAAATTAACTTTGTAAACTACAGGTTCGCCGGATTTCACAGCTTATATTGAAAAGAGAACACGATTTTGTGGACACAGTTGGCTATGCATTGGAAGCAAATCCCAAGGTAATAAGTTTGATAATTATATCACTTTCCGGTTTTATGAGGCTTGAGCATTTTCCATTATAAGCAATAAACTCCAGGACTGATTCCTGGCTATAAATTTATGACATATTTAAGTTGGAATTTCATCAATATTCCTTTTCCGTCCATATTATTCAGTCTGCAATGCGCAACGATGATTTATGCTTGTTTACTTGATAATGGAGATGTAAAAGAACTTTACTATAATTTCATTTTGGTTTGTCATGTAGGTACAGCAATCTTATCTTATCGCACCGCATGAACAGCATTTCCAGATTGTTTATCATCTCCTAAAGGGACACATATCAGAAGTTTCAGATTTCAAGGTAAGAATGGGATTTTGACTTTTAAAGGATGTTACTCAGTATTCACGTTGCTAAACCATAGTTGCCCTGATTTTTGAACAAAATGTTGTAATTTTTGGTTTTGGAATTTCCTGTATATGATTAACTATTGTGTTCATTCATTTTGTAAAATTGGCAGGTTATTGTTTTCTGTACAACAGCTATCGTAACATCCCTCCTGTATTCACTTCTACGCGAGATGAAAATGAATGTGAGGGAGATACATTCAAGAAAACCTCAGATTTATAGGACTCGAATAGCTCAAGAATTCAAGGAAGCTAAAAGACTTATTCTAGTTACTTCGGATGTCACATCTCGGGGAATGAATTATCCCGACGTTACACTGGTTATCCAGGTAGAGAATAATTTAATGGATTACAGTAATCTGGGACAAAGCTAAATCTTCCCTGCATAAATTAGATTCTCATAAATCATAATCTGTGAGGGCATGCATAAATTACAAATGGAGATGGGAGTAACTAATAAAGTGTTGTCTTATTGGTTAGCTTCATTAGTGGATTTTTTATGGTTCGGTGGCCAACCCTCTGCTTTTGCAATTACAAAGGTTGTCTAGTTTTGATATGTGTGCTTGAAGCTGTGTTCTGTTTTCTACGTGGACGAAACAATTGTTGACAATCTTTTCTATGAATCAAAAAATTGAGGTTTTTAACAGAAGCTGATTTTGCTGCAATGGTTCCCTGTAACCGTGGTTTTTGAATAGAGGAGTATGTAATTTGTTACGATGTTTTCCATGTTGCATGGATGTGAACGATGGAATGCTTGTGTTTTAGCATTAAAATCTGAAATAGTCCAGCCTCCCCTTGTTATGATAGCTTCATTAGAAAGGTTTGAGATTGTGTTTGTTAATACCATTTCGTCGATTTCTCTTCCTTTCTGTATGGGTTACGCTGGAAACATTTTCATGTGCTCTGCACAAAGCATTCATAGTTCAACATGTTCCTGTTTTCTAACTATGCCAAAAATGAAAAACTTTTCGTTTGCTTGAATGGTTTCTGACATTCGATTTATCAGGTGGGCGTTCCTCTAGATAGGGAACAATATATTCATCGCCTTGGAAGAACAGGACGTGAAGGCAAGCAGGGAGAAGGCATACTTTTGCTTGCACCATGGGAGGATTCTTTCTTGGATAATTTGAGTGACCTCCCTCTTAAGAAATGCTCTACTCCTTGTTTAGATCTTGATGACAATACAAAGGTTTGTAAATACCTTAATGGCCAGCATAATTTTTCCCGTACTTTTTAAAGAACAGCAGTGCTATGCAGACAGTATCGTCTTTACCCCTTTTCATTAGTTAAGAATCAAGTCCAATGATGCCATTCTCATTTCCTTTCCGGGATAATTGCAGATGGAAGCATGTCTTGCAAAGATCGACAAAGGCCTCAAGGAGGCAGCATATCATTCATGGCTAGGGTATTATAATTCAATCAAGGAAATAAGCAGAGACAAAACGACCCTGGTTGAGCTGGCCAATCAATTTTGCAAGTCAATTGGTTTAGAAAAGGCTCCCGCACTCTTCAGGAAAACAGCATTGAAGATGGGTTTGAAAGATATTCCGGGCATTAGAATACAAAAGTGAGGCAATTCTCATGTTTTTTTGTTTATCTTTAGTTCAGAATAGAACCAACTGTGCTTGTTTAGTGAACTCCTGTCCTCACTTGAGATGGTAGGTCTAGAGCCACGGCCTTAGCACGAATGGTCACAAAGCGATGATAACAGCTTTCGATTACCTTGTTTTATTCTGAGTTTCCATTGTAAAAGAACCGTGTTAACACTTGCCTTCTGGCAGCGGAAACATAATGAGGTCTGAGTTAGTATGGTCCTCTTCTCTCCAATAAACGGATGCTACTTCCACAAAAACGAGATTACTTCCACACTAACATTATAATTTATAAACGGTTATAAATAGTAGTATTACTTCAGACTATATAAGATGATGATACTCCGCAGCTTATACTGCTATAAACTCTGCAGAAACTGCTGTACTGAAACCATAATACCAGCGAGCGGCTCTCATTACCATCCCAAGAACTAAAGTATAGATGACTTTGACAGTTCCAAATACCGTACTCCAAAGTACCAAGCACAAATGCAAATGCACATAATTAATCTCTGCCCTTTAAACCGTTTCACACACCCAAAAAAAAAAAAAAACATACTTGCCCTTTAAAGAGCTTTTTATAGTACCAAAATATTTCAAATATGCAGAAGACAATGATATCCTAAACATTCAACAAAAAAGCAAATGAAAAACTTCTAGGGTTGTGAGTATAGTTTTTAGTAACAAAACAAACAAATACTCCAAGCTGCATCAGAATGATATCCAATTCGGTAGGCGTTAAAAAAAAAAAACCAAGAGACGCGATGTCACTAATTAGATGGCAATCGATACTTCTGTCTTCAAGACTATAAATTCCTACATCCACACTAATCCCTAGACCAAACAAGCCTCCTCTCTTTCCAAAATCGTCGTCCCTGGGGCAGTCTTCAATACCATCGTCTTTAAAGACCATAAAATAGATATGGTTGGCCTTAATTACACCCGGAAAAGCAGAAGCCACGACAGACATGCCACCACAAGGGCCAACAAAAATCGCATCCGTTCCCAAACTAGTAATCACCTCCCACTCGCACTTTGCCACGTCCAATCGAATGACCTTAAAATTAGTATAATCGCCGGAGTCCAAGATGGGTCGACATCCATACCGTTGTTTTTTTTTTTTTTTTGAAAATCCCTTCTTTGTCTTAGCTATATCTACTTTTCCTATATCACATTTGATCTTTCTTTGAATTTAATTCACTCCTTAATTTGGTTGGTCCCAATTTTCGTATACCATCTAGATGGTTATGATTCCTAGAGAACCTAGCTTTAGCTTTTCAAAAGAGAAAGTACAGTTTCAAGTTTCAATATTTTGGCATGTTATCAAACAGTTAATGTGTATTCAACAAAAACTTTACCTGGCAAAGTTACTTATTGACAGAAGGACAAAAGGTTAAGATAAAAAGAGTATCATTTAAATTACATATTCATTATAACAGTACTCCACTGCGTGCGAAGTTACGAATTTTATAGTTCTTCAAAAAAGTCTATCCGGCAAGAAAAATTTTGAGGAATACTTATTAGTTCTTCATTGTGCCCAGTCGTTTCATTAGGTCAAGTCTTGTGATTAATATTCATATCGTCGCAACTTACATAAATTACTATACTCAATTTAAATGGTTGCAAAATCTTGTACACGATTCAACTGTTATTATAAACTTTGCAAAACCTATTAATTATGCTGAAACCTAACTGCCAGCTAGCTGCTCAATTCATTACCACCTCAAGAAAGCCGCTCAATTGATTTCTGGCTGGGAACAGAAAATGTATTACCACTTTAAATTGTTGGAACTTCTATAGCAGAACTGAAAAGGGTAACACCAGGCTTCAAAATTTGGAAGTTATTATGTTTGCTTAATAACTGAGAAAATCTCAACTTCAAATCACCTAAAAATGAATCATTAGCCCCAACAACTTAAATGGGTATTTCACTTTCGGCCACCTCAAGAATGACAGTATAGATGACTTTTAACTGCCCAACGCAATGCAAAATACATAGAGCTCTCTAAATTACATTCCCCGAGTTTTTCATTGTACCAAAATATAGCAAACATTAATTTTATTTTGGATGGAGATCGAAAAATCAATAATGCAAAAACGATAAAATCCTAAAAATTCACACTAAGCACAGTGAAAACATAAAGGGTTGAGTATATTTATTAGTCACAACTAAACAAACAATAACTCAGAAGAATTTGTAACACATGCATGCGTGGCATAATAGCGGATTCCACCCCGGGCACATGCATCAGAATGATATCCAAACGGGCGGGCATATAAAACTAAGAGATTCGATGTCACTAAATCGATCGATACTTCCGTCTTCAAAATTGTAGATTCCCATATCCTCACCACCCCCTAGAACAAGCCGGCCTCCTCCTTTTCCACGTTCTTGAGAGTAAGAATAGGCTTCAACGCAATCGTCTGAAAAATAAATACAATTGGGTTTGATTGCATCCGGAAAAGCAGAAGCCACAACAGAGATGCCAAGACTATGGCCAACAAAGATGGCATCCAACCCCAAAGTAGTAATCTCCTCCCATACGCATTTTATCAAATCCAATCGAACGACCTTAAAATTAGTAACACCGTAACTCCAATCGTCGTCCTCTACGGTCACACCGTCCCGGGTGACAACCAGTAATTCGCCGCTTGATGATTCTAATAGATAGGCTGCCCGATATAATAAAATATCGAAATCCAGCGTCAGATCAAGATTGGCAGTAGCAACCCTCTCATGTGATGAGGAGGATTTATTGCGGGTCACAATGGATGAGGAGGATCCATGATCCCACCCGAAAACTTGGCCCCTTGCATTAATTGCAAAAAACTTTCCGCTATAGAAACCAACATCCCACCAATACTTGGAATTCGTACAGGTTGGCTCTATACCTGTCCACATCAGGTCACCTGTCCTCCAAAACGCTAAGGCAAAAGCCCGAGAGTGGGAACCAGCAGAGTAAATTACAGCTACAACAATATCTGAAGTGTGCGTGGGATTTGCGGACAGAGCCGCTCTGCTTATAAACGAAACTGTCCGAACATACTCATGGTAGTGGTTTTCCTCAGAATCAGGGAAAGTTGTACAGCCGGGGAGTTGGATCTGAGAACGAGAAAAAGGGTTCAATAAATTAATCTCACCTGAACTTGAAACCGTTAAGAACCAACCAAATCCGGCTTCCATGCACCGTCTACCCTTTGCCTCCGGGAGTGGTATCCGCATAGCCGTCTTTCTTCCCGAGAGACAGTAAAATTCACGTTCATCACTGTCTTCTTTCTCTGCGAGCATAAGCAACGGAACCCCCTTCAAGGCATTGGCAAACTTATGTTCTTTTGCCGCGGATCGCCAAGAAGCACAAACCCCTCGGAAAGCCATGAAATCTTCCACAACTGATATATGTTTTGTTATCTCAACCAACATCTCGTGAATTAGGCCGGACCAATCTCTAATGTGCTCCATTGTTTTGTGGACTGCTAAACGGAGGGAAAATAACGATATCTCTCGATCTTTGGTTCACGGATTTATTTTTCCGCGTAAGGCCGAAAGGAAGGCGGGTTTTGTTCCTTGTGGAAAAAAGAAAAGCATGCGGCGGAAGGGCTAATTGTAAAAAAAAAGCAACTACAAACAAGAAAGGGCGGAAAAATCTTGGCCTCCAATTTTCACAAAATATCGTTTTTGTTTTCCAGGGGATAGTAACCAAGTATTTATCGAAAAAAAAAAAAACCAAATAGTAGAATATTCGTAAGATTTTAAAGATTATGTAGAACCCCAAAAAGTTCTATTAAGATCTCCCGAGTAGATTGGATGGGTTTTATTTTATTTTATTTTATTTTATTTTATTTGATAAAGGTACCTGTTGTCATGATCATGATTCTAATAGGCTTACTTAGCAGCTCCATTCGTATTCGGTTTTTTTGTAAGTTGGCCTTACCTCATAGGATTTACTTTTTACAATCTCCCTTTCCTTTATGATGAATTCATTCTTGACTTGTTTCTCTTAAAATCTATTTAAACTTGAAAATAAGTGAAAGACCACATTAGAAATAATAACCCATGTTGATCAACATATGAGTTTCATGTGTCAATACGAATCAGGCGAATTTCCGGCCAATCCATTCATACGTGTTTATATGATCGATATCGGCTTCTCGCTTACAATTTGTACGCGAACACGTTGTTCCTAATTTTCTAAATAGTTATGGTTCCAGGAGAAACTAGTTTTAACTTTTCCAATGAGAACAACTTTTCAATTTTCAATATTTTAGCATGTAATCAAACAGTTAATTAATTTGTATTTGAATGCTTTGGAAAAATTACTGATTGACAAAAGGGCAAGAGGTTAAGATAATCAAGAGAAGTAGAGTAATAACACTTAAATTACACAATTTATTAGAAAAGTTACTCCACTGTGTGTGAAATCACGAATAGAATTTGCATTTTTTTTTTCCTATTCCTAGCTCCCATTTGATACCAAGCTATATATCCAAAAAAAGATTAGACGGCCAGAAAATTTGTAGGAGTACTTATTAGTTTTTCATCGTGCCAGTTTTTCAATTAGTTCAAGTCTTTTCTAATTATAATACTCCTATTCTCACAACTTACATAAATCACTATACTCAATTTTAATGGTTACAATATATTGTACCCGATTCAACTATTCTTGTTAGATGATTTTAACTGTATTAACACAACATCGTACCCGAGCATAATGCAAATACATATAGATCTCTAATAAGTTGCCCCGATGGAGATCGATAAATAATGCAGAAGACAATAAAATCCGAAAAATTCAGGAAAGCAAAATGAGAACATATATGATTGTGTGTATATATAGTTATTAGTAACTAAACAAACAATAACTCCAAGAATTGGTAACATATGCCAGGCATGAGCTCGCCCGCCTACTGTAAAACGATGTCCAAACTTCAGGGAAACATCCAAACTTCGAAGGCATTGCCACAAACTCACGGGCACATGCATTAGAATGATATCCAAACGGGTGGGCATGTAAAACTAAGAGACTCGATGTCACTAAATCGATCTATACTTCCATCTTCAAGAGTATAAATTCTCATATCTTAACCACCTCTATACCAAGCCGACCTTGCGATGACCCGTGAAAGCTAGCTAGTCAAGCTAGCATGTCATATGATCCCACATCGGTGGTTGATGACGATGGCGATCAGCTTATAAACCTAATCTAGCTGGTTTACTAATAACTTGGGTTAACCATTTTAGTTCTAGCAAGGACGATCACCCAAATAGTTATTGGGCTAGACCTAGCAGTTGGGGTATTACAATTGATATCAGAGCCGACCTAGTCCAGAGGTGGACCTACCTCTGAGCTCACACTTAGGAGACAAGTGCTGTGTGACACCTTTGAGCTCATACAAGGTGTGAGACAAGTGAAACACATCTGTTCTAGCGGAGCCTGGGCCAACTGTATGTGCTGTGTGTCTTGGGCCTTATGGGGACGCAAGGATCCAAAGGGGGTCGAGTGTGATGACCCATGAAAGCTAGCTAGTCAAGCTAGCATGTCATATGATCCCACATCAGTGGGTGATGACGATGGTGATTAATTTATAAACCTAAGTTAGCTGGTCTACTAATAACTTGGGTTAACCATTTTTGGTCTAGCGAGTACGATCACCCAAATAGTTATTGGGCCAGACCTAGCAGCTGGGGTGTTACAGACCTCCTCCTCTCCCAAGGCACTCGTGATAAACGTAGGATTCGACACAATCATCTGTAAAATAAATACGGTTGGCTTTGATCACATCTAGAAAAGCAGAAGCCACAACAGACATGCCAACACTATGGCCAACAAAAATAGCATCCATTCGCAAACTAGTAATCTCCTCCCACGAACGTTTTGTCATATCCGATCAAACTTCCTTAAAATTAATAGCCCCATAACTTCAATCATCATCTACACTAACACCGTCCCGGGTGACAACCAGTAACTCGCCACTTGATGATTCTAATAGATATGCATACCCTTCAACCACCATATTCCAATCGATCGTTAAATGAATATTGGCAATACCAATCGTCACATGTGATAAAGAGGATTCATCACAGAGACAGCCAACATCGGATGAACATTTATCTGACCCACAAACTTTGCGGGTTAGAATGGATGAGGAGGATCCATGATCCGACCCGCAAAGTTCACCCCATGCATTAATAGCAAAAAACTTTCCACTATAGTAATGAACGTCGCGCCAACAATTAGAATTCGTAAAGTTTGGCTCTCTCCCTGTCCATATTAGGTCGCCTAACCTCCAAAACCCTAAGGCGGTACCACCACCGTAAATCACAGTTACAACGAGTTTGGAGTTGTGGGATGGATTCGCAGAGAGAGCTACTCTGAATATAAATGTAAACTCGGGAAGCATATAATCATAATCCTCAAAATTGCGGAAGGTTGTACAGTCAAGAAGTTGGATCTGAGAACCAGAAGAAGGGTTGAATAGATTTATCTCACCCGAACTTGAAACCGTTAAGAACCACCCAAATCCAGCTTCCGTACACCGTCTACCCTTTGTCTCCGAGAGCGGTAGTCGCTTAGCATTCTTTCTTTTGGACAGGCTGTAAACCTCGAGTTCATCGCAGTTTTCTTTCTCGGCAAGCATAAGTAACGGAACTCCCTTCAAGGGATGGCAAAATTATTTTCCGTTGCCGCTGATCGCCAAGAAGCACAAACTCCTCGGAAAGCCATGAAATCTTCCACCAATTCTATACGTTTTGTGATCTCAACTAACATCTCCTGAATTAGGCCCGACCAGTCTCTTATGAGTTCCATTGATTGATTGTGGACTACTTACTAAAAGGGCGGAAGAATCTTATATATCTCTCGATTTTGTTTAGGAATTTATTTTTCCGAGCAAGACCAAATAGGACTATAAAAGGAAGGCGATCGGGAAAAGGAAAAGCACGCAATGGATTCGGAAATTAGGAAATTGAGCCACAAAACGTCCAATTTTCACAAAATATCGTTTTTCTTTAATGGATATGAACAAAAAATTACAAAATACTAATATGAGTAATATTTAAAGGATCCCGTAAAATTCTAATAGTTCATTAAAATTATACGACTAATAATAAAGATATAGCATTTAATTTAAAGCTTTACACATTTACCCTATTTTTGTACCACAAAAAAAAAGAGAAGAAAAAGACCTAGTGCGAATGAGGATCGTTTTTGTATGTAAGGATAATAATTGGATTGAAGATTCAAAAAACATACGGATCATGTGTTACCACCGATTTTTATTAAAATCAAGTCGGCCCAACAAAAGTGGTGAATCGGCCCAATTACACAAAGTACACATCCGATACAGAGAGAGGAGGGTCCATGTCCGAATCAAAGAACGAGACGCGTTGCAAGTCCAACCTGGCGCAGGAGAAAGCCGAATCCAAGTCCAAGAAGAATTACAATTACGACAAGAAATAAACATCTGAAATAAAAGTCAATTCTGATTCTAAATCGGCAATACCGAATTCAAGTAAGAATCGGAGATCGCACCGCCTCAACGAGAAAGAATAGAGCGATACAGACACAACTCATCATCAACACAAACAGAATACAAGCTGCAAAGCTTTCTCTTCTTTCTTTTTCGCACCCTATTATTTTATTTTCGAGATCTTTTCACAAGTCTTTGTTATTCGATTTACTCATTGTATTTCGTTTAAGTTCATCAATTTATCATCAATTCAGTCTTTATTCCAAGTTATTACAAGTTTTACAACCTTTTCCTTCACGCCTAGCCGAATATTGCATCTCATGAATTACACACTTTCATATGAGATTGTTTGCAAGCATGCGTCAGTTTCTACTGATTATTTTCGCACAAACATCATGATGATTCTAAAAACTTGGTACGGTGTTTTGTGAAGTCGATCAATCACTTTCAAAGCTTTGAACATTTGGGCTTATCAGCTCTTTTGTTGTTACTAGACTTCATCATTTTGGTAATAACTGTTTTTGGTACAAGAAAAATAACCTTTAAAATATATCCAAATAATTTTTCTTTTAATACCGAATGAAATTTGGTTTATACATCTTTAAAAACTCGATTTTTATACCACATGACAAGACGATAATAACAATTTAGTTTTGGGGCACTCCGGAGTTCCCAAATAAAAGTAATAATTAAAATGACGGCCTAAAGGCCTGTTTGATAACTCTACTTATTGCTTAAAATTATTCCATTAAGCATTTATTAGTTTTAGCATGTTTGATAACAAAAATTAAATCTCTTATTGAATTAAGTGGTGCTGAAACTATAGTACAAAATATAACCAATAAAAGTTAGATTACTTTTATTGCTTATTCTGTAACTACTTGATGAATTTAGTATTTCTTATTCAGTATTAAATATTCAGAATTAAGCACTAAAGACCGTAAGATGTGTATTAATTACTAATTAGGGTTGGAGGTGGTAAATAAAAGAAAGAAAATAACATTAAAATACAATAAGAAAAAAAATCCTGAAACCTTATTATATTTGGGAATTGGTGGAAGAATAGAGAATCTCTCCTGGGCAATGTTTGCAGAATCGTGATCCTACATAGGATCGAAATAGGGTCATAGGATCGTAAATGGGATCGGTAGGATCAAAATAATAGGATCGTAAAATTAATTATACATGTTATATAATTAATTACTTTAATAATTAAATTTCAATTATCTTTAAATAAAGTATTTAACATTTAAGCGAAAAGAATTGTGTAAATTCAATTTTTGTATGTGAATTTTTTCATAACTTTTTAATGAAAACTCTTCTCTTATAGTTATTCTTTTCATTTTATTATAAAAAATTTCTAAAATATATTTTTCTTAGCGATAAAAGTTTCCTCAATGAATATTAGCCTCAATCGAATGTAGACCAAAAGAAATAAGAGAAAAGAAAAATCTCAATAAAATCAATTAATTTTTTGTAATTAATGAATAGTAAACTCGTACGATCTCACCGCTCCAATCCTAACCGATCCCACTCCAATCCCATTACAAAATTTGAATTTGATTGATTTAGGTACCTGGGATCGTAGGATCGGACAATCCTACGATTCAGATTGCGAGTTTATAAACTATGCTCCTGGGGCCGCCGCCACCATTTCTTTGCCGTTCCTCTGCTTCAGCCGTTTGTCTTCTCCCTTCTACCTTGGTGCCGTCACTTCTGAGCCCGCTGCCGTCGCCTTGTTGTCAACCGAAGGTTTGAGTCTGATTTTTGTCTTAGCCGCAAAGAGGGAAAGAAAAATTAAAATCATATTCTGATCGTATTAAACTCTAGCTTTTTTGTGTGGAAATCATGTTTGTTTTACATCAATTTATGCCCACCTATTAACTAGAATTGATCAAAGACTAAACTTTGTTGTTTTGATGGATTAATTGATTCGAAATTCATGATGGGTCACAGTTGATTTGCCCTGTGTTTCTTTCTTATTGCCAAGTTCGAACAATTACTTACTCAAAAAATTTAAAATTCGAAACTTTTTACAGTGACATCGAGTGAAGTAGTGATGGAAAAGGAAGAGGAAGTGAGATCGAGTGAAGTAGTGGTAGAAAAGGAAGAGAATGTGTTGAGTGAAGTAGTGATGGAAAACGAAGAGGAGGATGTGTCGAGGAAGAGTTTAGAGGAAAAGCTTAGTACTTGTTTGGACGTCAACTTATATTTCATTTTACCACTTAAAAGTAGAAAGTGTTTCAAATTGAAAACTAAATGGGAAATAAAAATGTTGTTTGAATGTTGGTTTTGAAAAAAAGTATTTTGAACTATATTTTGAAATATTAAATACAAGTCATCACTAAACAATTAAATAATGTCAATTATAGTCACTGCAAAAAAAGAACTTTTCCAAAAACAATCACTCAACAACGGAATCCTGCCAAATTTGTCACTGAACTATTTGTAGTTCTAAAATGGTCATTACACTAACAAAAAGTATTGCAAGTTGGAATTTAAAATGTAAATCAAAAAATTGTTTGGATGATGTTTTGTTTTCCATTGGGTTTGGTGTTTAAGAGATAAAATGAGTGAAAATGTAAAATGAGTTGATATCCAAACAAAGCCGTTGCATTAGAAGTATCGGCGAAGAATGCATCGGAGAAGATGATTTGGAAAATCTCCTTTCCAAGAAACCAAATCCTATATGCTATGATGGGTTTGAGCCTTCCGGAAGGATGCACATTGCGCAGGGCCTAATGAAGGTGATCAATGTCAACAAGTTGACTTCCTCCGGATGCCATGTCAAGATATGGATTGCTGATTGGTTTGCTCAGCTGAATCACAAGTTGGATGGTGAACTGAAGAAAATCCAGGTCGTCGGCGAGTATTTCATCGAGACATGGAAGGCCGCGGGGATGAAGCTTGACAATGTGGAGTTTCTATGGAATTCAAAGGAGATTAACTCGAGAGCTGACGAGTACTGGCCCCTTGTTATGAATATAGGCACGCAATTCAAGCTTCCTAGGGTGCAGAGGTGTTTGTCAAATTATGGGCCGTTCCAATCCTAATCAACTGTACGCCGGCCAAATCTTTTACCCATGTATGCAGTGTGCATATATAGTTTTCCTCAAGGTAATTACTGACTTTGCTCATCATCTCGTAATATTTGTTTTGTTCCTGCAGAGTGGATTCTAGTTTTCTATGTTGATTCCAATAATGTCCTACTACTTATAAACTAACCGGCTGGTTTTAAGATGAAAGTAACTAGATTAAGGTTGTGTGTTCATGATAGGTTTCTAATATGGGACTGGTCAGCTTTTAACATTTTCATTTATGGACATGAATTCACTTGAGGTTTTAATCCCACAGGCTGACATCTGCCAGTTGGGCATGGATCAGAAGAAGGTGAATATGCTAGCAAGGGAGTACTGAGATGTAATCAAGAGGAAACACAAACCTATCATCCTGTCTCATCGTATGTTTTTATCTTTTTGTGCTGATATTGGAGTTATTCTTTGTAATATCTTACGTGCCAAAGTGTCTATAATGATTATGGTTGTCTTATCTTGACCTCGCAGATATGCTGCCGGGGTTGAAGCAAGGGGAAGAAAAGATGTCTAAGAGCGACCCGGATTCTTCTATCTTCGTGGAGGATGAAGCTGTATTTATCATCCTTAATGAACATATTATTACATTTGCTATTTTTTCAAGTATCATCGTGTATTAACATGCATAAAAACTGCTTGTCGCAGGCTGAGGTATCTCGCAAGATTAAGAAGGCATTCTGCCCTCCTAAAACTGTGGCTGGCAATCCATGTATAGAGTATATCAAATACATTGTTTTGCCTTGGTCCGATGAGTTTAAGGTTCAACGAACTGACAAAAATGGTGGTGATAAGTAAGTTTCTTTCACTCGTAGTGACTATCTTAGGTCCCGTTCCTCTTTATCAGTCTTTGGAATTGTTAGCATCAATAGATAATATCTCCTTATCATTTTGCTTATATTCTGTGGCTGAGTGGTCATACTTTTCTATTCCAAAGAATGGCGTCAAACTATATAAATCTGAAAGCGTTTTAAATCGGCGCTATTCATGTGACATTTCTAGGCGCATTTTTTGTCTCTTCCCTGTAGGATCTACAAAAATTTTGAAGAACTAGCCCAGGATTATGAAACTGGTACATTGCATCCAGGTGATGTGAAATCTGCCTTAATCAAAGCACTGACGAGATATTAGAACCGATACGGAACCATTTGAAGACAGATTCCCGTGGCAAGGAGCTGCTGAAAAAAGTAAAGAGTTACAAGGTGACCAGGATTAACCAAAGCGGCGGCAAGTCTGATGAGGTCATGAAGGCAAAACCATTTTCCTCTCAGCTCATTGTTAGGATCTTGTTCGTGTCCTTACTAATAATTAGTTGTTTCTTTAATTTTGTAATGTTCTTTAGATTATTTTGAACTTTAGGGAAAGTTGTTAGACCGACTATCTAGTTATATGGTTGTTAACTTTTTTGATTCATTGGTTTTATTTAATTAATTGCACATCCTTGAAAACTCAAATACGTTGAAAGTTGAAAACTCATTCTCCATCCTTTGTCTATTTATAGGTATCTTCCTTTCTTGGCGTTCTTCACCTGTACAGTTTGTTCTTTATTAGCTATAGAGAGCACCCTTCAATCAAGAAAGGCTTTATTTTTCTGAGTAAGTGGTATGATCAAACAACAATGACAACCGGTGATTAAATTCCCACTGATTCCGATAATATTTAAATTTTATTTTATTTTGCATAAATTCGCAAACCAAAAAATAGTCTCTTCAATGCCAAAAAACAAAGGACTTCTCACGTCGATCTTTTTATACATGGAATTCAGTTGTTATTACGCTAGAGTTTGTTCGTTCAATTTAAAAAATTGACCCTTGATTAAGTTCAACTTTGCAAGTATTTTGTGGACTTTGTTGAATTGTTGTCATCCCCGACCAGATTTAAATTCTGACAACTTTATATTCCTCTCCCCCTTCATTTCAGAAACTCGTGCATATTCTGGGAGCTTTTCGAGCAAATTCATGAAAATAATTACTATCTGAAACTTTGAATTCCTCAAGATGTAAGACTGAAAATGTAATAATAACTAGAAACTATTGTATAGATAAGTCATAATTAATGGTTGGATTTATTTTTCTTTTTGGCGAATTCTTTTCTGAAAAAAATTCAATCGGAATGGCGACCGGCATTACTGAAACTTTCATCAAATGCAAATTTGAATACCAGTGAGAAATTAATTTAGCTACTTGTAACAAGTGAATTGATTTTATGGGAATTGAATGATAACCTAGTGGTTAGGTTGTTGTCCTTCTTCGTAATAGATCACGGTTCGATTCTTACCAGGGGTTGTGATGAAATTTTTTATCCACATTTAAGTAGGGTCCATTGGAGTGAATTCTTTTTTATAAAAAAGTGAATTGATTTTATATCAAAAAAAACAACTTACAAAATAATCTATTTTTTTAAAATTTATTTATCCGACGTCTTTATCAAACGCAAAGTGAATTGATCGGTTTTATGAAATTAGATGGGATTGGGTGAGAGATAAATGAACTCATTGAAAACACAGGTCTAGTAGGTCGACCACGAAAAAAACCCAAGTTCTTGCTGCTTAATTTAGCAATTGATTTGTGACGAACAGAATGAGCACGATGAATGTAGAGAAAAAGAAGTTACGCACACCAGACGCACAAGAATAAACAAACAATAACAGTTGCCGCAGAAATGATTTAATTAGTTTAACGTTTTTATCTTCGGTGATGTTGGATTATAAGAAAAAATACTTTCAGGGCATCCTATTGTATAATATTAGAATCGACCCAGTGATATTGACCTTACATCGCACAAATTTTTCTTTTTTTGGTTAGTTACAAAAATCAGTCCAGAATCATTTTTATCACTAACAAATGAAATCATGTGTTTCTAACATCTCTGTATTTCGATTTAGGTTTTCTTCACTGAAATAATGGAAGGAGTGCGCAGGCGCGTACTGATCGGCCACAACTTAACTAGGCTCAAGGGGGAAGTGGTACTAGAGCCCGCGGCAAACTTCTGACGAAACCAATGGTCAAATTTGCCCGAAGATCTCCTGTTACAAATTTTCTCGAAACTGAACAAGCTAGATCGTACAGTGAATGTCGCTGATATGTGTAGCTCTTGGCGTGCGGCGATCTCTTGGAACCTGCATTTTCCAGCACTTCGGACCTGGCCAAGTGCAGACAGCAGACATTCAGTTGGTTCTACGAGCTTGTCTACCCAACTAGGAGAGGTCTAATGGAACTCATGTTTCGTCGAGGTATAAAATTAGGCGGTCACAAATTGACGACTTTAGTTTTTGATCCTTCATTTGAGGTTAGCGACAGACATTTATTGTTGAAAGGTACTGTACGTACGTTTTACATTTGAAAGTCCTTAATTTTTAAAATAGGAAAAAATAACACTTTCGTTAGTGACATGAATATTGTGGCCTAAGATTATCTCATGATTTAAGTGCTCGTGAAGAAATAAATAAGAAAAAAGGTCTCTGCAAAACTATGTTCACTAAACTTGATTTTTCACTGGAGTGATTGATGCGTATGATGGAGTCATTTTTAAGTGGAAGGGGAAAGAACAACTACAATAATAATTTCTACCACATTCTTGTTCGTGCATATTTCGTGCGCTTTTGGAGCTTGTAAAAAAATTGACAGTTCTTAGGTTCTCATGATATAAATTGTAGAGACGAGCCATATTCAAGAAACTTAGCTTACGAAGCAATACGTTTTCAAGGGATTGACGTGCTAGATCGGTGTAAATATAAAGAGAAGGCACTGAAATACGTTGTATATTTAGAGTATTCCAACTTCTGATAAACTTAATTGGTCCAAATTGCCTTTACATCTCCTACAACATATTTTGCTACATAAGGTCATTAATCTTCATTAACCAAAGGATTCCCAGGCCCAGAGCTACCAAAGGTCATTTAATCGGTCTGCTCTTTGTTCCCATTTAATTTCACCTTTGTGATTCTTATTCATCCACTTTTTTTTTTTGTGGTTAATTAGCTTTTATATATGTTTATGATCTAATCAAACACCGGATAAAAATAGTTTTTGTTTGGGTTTTGGAGTACTGCTTAGAATGGGTAGTTTTCCCTCTCCGTGCAAGATTTGTGCATACTTTTTTATGTTAAGCGTTAAGACCCCAAGTCTATTTACATATCCAGAGTAAAGCATTCGTTGTTTAATATTGATAGGGAATCAGGAATATTTAAATTTTTTTAAAAAACAAAACAAATTCTCTATGAGATAGTCATAATAAGTTCTCAACAGTGGAACTGGTTTAATTAATTCAGCTCATAATTACAAAGACTAGATTACTTGATCAAGCACATTGTAAATAAAGTAGTGTGTTTCATTTCTATTTAATTACATGATTATAAAACTCATGTCTAATGATCTATGAAAATACTATGTAACTATTTCAATTCTTACCACACTTTTTTTCCCCTGTTTGTCACACACACACACACACACACACACTATACACATCAACAATTATAGAAAACACTTTTGAAAGTGACTTTGATGTATTTCTTCTGCTTCCTATAATCTTTTTTCATCGACATTATTGCTTCTTCAAGATCAGTAGCAATTTGGTCGCTGTTTTTTTGTTGTTGTTTTTTTTCCCTTTTGGCTTATTTGCTTTAACTAGGATGCTGCACACGAGTGGAAAATAGTACAAAAGTCAAATGAATTTTGATACAATGCTAAAGATGGTATTCATATTGTACGAGAAAAGTAGTGCTTCTTTTAATTTCCTCCAACATGCAGATTGTACAATACACCAACGGGTCATAACACATATCTTTTTTCTTTTCAATAATAAGTAGAGAGCTAATTGTATACATACATACACAACCAGAGAGATCTTCACCATTTTTAACATTTTCCATTGAATATTAATTCATTAATTAATTCATCGCAAAACATGAGTAAATTTTTTGAAATTGAAAGGGTTTAACAAATAATTAGATTTCTATCTTAAAACGGAGAGAATACTCCTCATTTAAATTTCATCTATTTGCCGTGTACTTAAAAAGGTGAAATTGGATGGTGCTTCTTGCTTTCTCTTTTCTAATGTCCTTGGTTCATCCCTATAATAAAATGGGCTATTAAAATGAGACTGAGAGAGTAAACTTAGGAGATCATGGAAATGTACGTACATGTTCCTTCACTAAGGTTTTGCAAACCTAAGATTTAATTGGCCATTTGATTGAGCAAAAGTTTAACAAATAAATTAGATAATTAAGTCACAAAGACTAGATTTCTTTTTTGGTAAGTTCTTTTAAGAAAAATAAAAATCTATCGGAATATCTTTTGCTATTAATTCTAAAGTTTATGGATCTTACACGAAACTCAAACCAAAACACGACCGGGATAAATGAAAGTTTCATGAAACGCAAAGAAATTAATTTAGCTAGCTACTTCAAACAAGTGAATTGATTTTATATCAACAAAAACCACTCACAAAAAGATCTGGCTTTATCCTTCTTTATCAAACGAAAAGTGAATTGATCGGTTTTATGAAATTAGGTGGGGTTGGATGAGAGATCAATGAACCCATAAAAAACACAGGTCTAGTAGGTCGACCACAAAAGAAAACCCCAAGTTCTTGCTGCTTTAGCAATTGATTTGTGACGAACAGAATGAGCACGATGAATTTAGAGAAAAAGAAGTAACGCACACAAGACGCACAAGAATAAACAAACAATAACAGTTGTCGCAGAAATGATTTAATTAGTTTAACGTTCTTATCTTCGGTGATGTTGGATTATAAGAAAAATACTTTCAGGCCATCATATCGTATAATATTAGAATTGACCCACTGATATTGCCCTTACATATATCGCACAATGTTTTTTTTATTATCATTAGCAATTTTTATTTTTATGTTTTTTTGTAGATACAAAAATAAGTCCAGAATATTTTTGTCACTAACAAATGAAATCATATGATTCTAAGATCTCAGTCTTTCGATTTCGGTTTTCTTCATTGAAATAATGGAAGGTGTCCGCAGGCCCGTACTGATCCGCCACAACTTAACTAGGCTCAAGGGGCAAGTCGAACCAAATGAACGAACCAAATGGTTAAGATTGTCCAAGGATCTCTTATTTCAATTTTTTTTTCGAAAATGAACGAGATAGATCGGATAGTGAGTGTCGCTGCCGTATGTAGCTCTTGGCGCGCGGCGATCTCGGATCCTGCATTTTCCAGCACTTTGGACCTAGACAGCAGTCTTTTAGCGGGTTCTACGAGCTCTTCTACCCAACTAGGAAAGGCATTGGAGCTCATGTTTCGTCGAGGTATAAACTTAGGTCGTCACAAATTGACGACTTTGGTTTTTTATCCTCCGTTTGAGGTCAGCGACGTATATTCATTTATTGGTTGCAGCTGAAAGGTACATACGTTTTACATTTGAAAGTCCTTCATTTTTAAAATAGGAAAAATGACACTTTCGTTAATTACTGAATATTGTGGCCTAAGATTATCTCATGATTTATGTGGTCGTGAAGAAACAAATAAGAAAAAGGTATCTACAAAACTATGTTCACTAAACTTGATATTTTATTGGAGCGACTGATGCGTATGATGGAGTCATTTTCAAGTTGAAGGGGAAAGAACAACTATAATAATGATAATTATATCCAATTTCCACCACATTTTGTTCGTGCATATTTCGTGCATATTTTGTGCGATTTTGAAGCTTCTAGGTGATGCAGGTGGAAGCCTAGAATCAATCGGAACCAACCCTAATACGGTCATCAACACAATGGAACAACCGAATCTAGAGGCCTAACCATGAAATCACCAACAATATGGAACAAAATCGGGATTAGCCTAATTACAATCACCAACAATATGGAACAAAAGTAATTAGGGATTAATTTAACCCACCAATAGAGAAGCTAGTTTCGAGAATAAAATCTCATTTTTCATTAATCAAAACAACCAACGAACAAAGAGGCGGCTGAAGCTTTAAATAAGAAAACAAATGCTGGAAAACTAAACCCTAATCTATTTAAATTAAATTACAAAAGTACCATACGAAATATAAATTACAACCCTATGTTATTTACAAGCCACCTCCATCACTAAGTTACCTTTCATTCTTAGTGATCTTAGGACGTCCTGTTCCTCTTTATCAGCCTCTAGAATTGTTTGCATCAGTAGATTATATCTCCTTATCATTATAATTATATTCTGTGTCTGAGTGATCGTCATACTTTTGTTTTCCAAAGAATGGCATCAAACTGTATACATCTGAAAGTGTCGCCAAGGTCATAACTTTCAAATCCACGCTATTCATGCGACGTTTCTGGACCCATTTTTGTCTAACCCTAATTCACTCGTCCCATTTAGAATCTACAAAAATTTTGAAGAACTAGCTCTGGATTACGAAACTGGTACATTGCATTCAGGTGATGTGAAATCTGCCTTAATCAAAGCACTGAACGAGATATTAGAGCCTATTCGGAACCATTTCAAGACAGATCCCTGTGCCAAGGAGCTGCTGAAAAAAGTAAAAAGTTACAAGGTGACAAGGACTAACCAACGCGTCGGCCCGTCTGATGAGGCCATGAGGGTGAAACCATTTCCATTTCAGCTCATTGTTAGGATATTGTTCGTGTCATTACTAATAATTAGTTGCTTCTTTAATTTTGTATGTTCTTTCAATGATTTTGAACTTTAGGGAAAGTTGTTAGACCCGGTTATAAACCTCGAATCTTATACTACTTCTATCTCAAAAAAATAGTCCACATTGAGTTTTTAAATTTGTTACTAAAAATAGTATAAAACTCAAAACTCAATGTGGACTATTTTTTTGGGACGGAGAGAGTACTATATGATTGTTGACGGTGTTGATTTATTGGTTTAATTAATTAATTGCATAATCCTTGAAAGGCTGAGAGCTGAAAACTCATTCTGCTAGTTATCTCTCTTCTGCAAATGTTTTTTTTTCCTTTTTTGTTCGCCCCCAAAAAACAATCCTCGAGCGGAGTTGTCAAATTAAGTAAGAGGCTTCTGCGGTCTAGGAACTCGCCCTATGCGCCCCCCAAAAAAAATCCCTGACGCGCCCCCAAATTTTCAACCTTCCTCATCCAAAATCGGCCCCGTCCTCCAATTCTTCTGATCAGATTTTTGCAATTGCAGGTTAGAAACTACTAATTAACCGAAAAGAGTCCACATGCAAGTCATTTTTCAATCTTTATAGCCTGGTTGACTTGGATTAAAGTGGAACCACGAAGAATGGCCTTTTGAAGCTGTTCAAGCATTCGTTCATCGGCATGGCGGATCTGGTATCTTGTAGAAGTCATTCTAGCCCATTAAAATTCAGATTGATGCATCTCTCGGATCTTTTGGCTCTAATTATCAAAGCCCGTTTTTTGACCATCAAAAATCAAATGCTCGAGGCCACCATTCTTCGAATAAATATTCTGAGATTCGAATTGCTTCAAAAGGAAGAGTTAATGCTTATATTAAGTCTGGGATTTGTCTCCTTCGAAATCAGCCGCATAAGGCTTTACAAATTAAAGCCTTAGGGAATACTATCCCAAAAGCTGTGGCTACAGGGGAGATGATAAAGGCTCGATTGAGTGAACTGCATCAGACAGTGACTACGATGACAAATGGTGTATCTACAATTATAATAACATTGGCAATAAATTCTTCTCAAGCCTCAAAGAATCAGAACAATTGTGTACAAAAGAGGAGTCCTGCATATGTTGACGCTCGTATACCTTCAAAAGAACAATTGGCATGGAGAAAGGTGAATGTCTCAGTTCCAAAAAGCTCTTGTTTTGTGGTTGATAATACTAGTACCAAACTATCTAGGAAGCTGGTGCAACAACGTTCAACTGAGATGGAAGCATGTTTTATGACTGCCAAAGGAATGCCAAGGGAGCTCCATGAAAAAGAGCCATTTGTCAGGGCATCTATAACTTTGTATGACGTTGGATGCGCCATGGAACCTCGGACCCCTCAGCTAATGGAGGCCGTTGAAGGCCAACAACCCAGTCCACCAATATGTAGTACATTATGGCTGCAAACTCAGGTACTTAATAGGAGGACCAAGCTCATATTTAAAAAAGGAGGTTTAACAAGAATTGGATCGAAATCTAAGTCTAGATCCCAAGGAAGCTTGGGATTAGTTGGGAACCAGGAACTCAAAACTCCACCCACCAGTGGGCTGAAAAAATCAGGAATCTTGCGAAAGATATGCAAGATAGTACCAGCCGCTGCTAGTCACTCTTCCAAGGAAAATATTGCAGCCGCGCACCAAAAAAGGAAGGCTGAGTATAATGGTGATAGTACATAACTTGCAAAAAAAGGATGCTTAGACATGTTTGGACACCATCGAACACAAACCTCTTTGCTTGGGGATGGAATGATTCATCGACAAGGTTGTTTGGTCAACAAATGGAGGTTTCACGGGGCAATGAGTTCATGTTGGTAGATCCAACTTGCCAGGAACATTCTCTAAGCCCGAACTGGAATGTGTATTCCATTGACAGTGAGATAGAATCTATAAAAGGTTTTGCGGTGGTGTACCGGATCAACCGCTGATAGGTTTTGAAGTTTCATATTATTTATAGGTATTTGTATAGTATTTTGGATTAGATTGTGTATTTATATTATGTATTTTGATGTTTTTGGTTCCTAGGAGTCCTTAGAGATAAGATGGAGCAAAATGTTCCATAAACACACATTTTTAGAGCATTTTGACAAGGAAGCACAAGAAGGAGCAATGACATTACATTCTCGTGTGGGCACACGAATCTCAGTCCAAAATTGAGCTTTAGAAAAGAAATTCCAGCATTGAGGCTGCATTACCGTTTGGCCAAACCGAAAAAGGGACTAAAACGAAAAATTGAAAAAGTTTTGAGGTCAAAATGTAATTTTGCCAAACTTGAGGGACCAATCTGCAAATCTCGGAAAAGTTAATTTGCTGCTGCGGATTTCTGAAGGGCTGCTGCGGCTGACCTACATTCTGATTATAAATAGACTTTGCTTTTCATTTTGAAAGGGTAGGAGGTAGTAGAATAAAAATAGACGTAGTTTTCCACTTTTAAGGAGTTTTAAAAGGCACTTTCTTCATTTTTGGGAGTTTTCAGAGTTCATAGACATCAATCGGTAACATTTTTCAATGAATTTTTCTTGTGATTCAGTTTTCATGATGAGTAGCTAAATTCATTCATCTGGTTGAAGGGTATTGAAGCCTTGGTTTGAATAGTTGTGAGATCTAAATGTTGTTTATCTCTCAATTTCTTGTGAGTATTTACTTGTTCTATTGCATGATTGATATGATTATTGTGAATTCATGAATAGCTGGTAGCATTCGATGCTTCTTAATAATCTAAAACCAATAAGACAACAAGGTTTGTTGTTTAAATAGGTTATAATATAATTTAATTACTCGGTAAGTAATTATTTATGTTATAAGAACAAGTAATCTGGTTTAATATAAAACAAGGTTTGTTTTATAGGAATTGGGATTGGGTCTATGTGTTTAATGTAGTAGTTTTCTAAATCTCAGGAGGTTCCAAGATTAGTTTTCGACTAATATATGATTAATGAAGGTTTCTTAATCATTGAATTAAATGAAAGATTGAATTGTTTGGAGGTTCCAACAATGAAAACTAATCTACTCATAAGTTAATGATAATATCATTGCATCTATGATCAACTTTTTAAATCAAGTAGGATATACAAACCCTTCGGCAAGATATTTTCTCATTATTTGTTTACATCATTTTAGCTATTGTTCGCAATTTGTATTGTTTGCAATTTATTTCAACAACTCAAAACCACCCCCCCCCATTTGTTACTTGATTTAAAAGAGAGAAATTCACCATTCCTTGAGGAGACAACCTTACTTTCCTGTACTACATTAGTTTGGAAATAGGTTAAATTGTTTGTTGGCTTGACACCCCATCAACCGCCTCTGTTTCTATGAGTATCTTATCCTGAAATTGTAGAGGTATTAATAATGCCTCTACGAAGTATTGTATTAGTAGATTATGTAGGCACTATAAACCTTCTATTTTGTTTTTAATGGAAACTAAGACAAACACTAGTGTTATGGATATATGGCTGCAGAATACCTCTTTTAGGAGCTCTTTTGTAATTGATCTAGTAGGATCTAGTGGTGGTCTGGCCTAATATTGGTTAGATGGTGTGCAACTTTAAATAGTACTGCACAATCGAAATGTAATAGTAGCACGAGTCAAGGAACCCTCAGGTGCGGAATGGTTAGGTGTCTTTCTATACGGCCTACCATCTCGTCAAGGTAGAGCTGAATTTTGGACACAACTCAATACCAACCTCAGCAGTTTAAACTATCCAATAATTGTTCTAGGAGATTTTAATCAAGTCACTAGCCAAGAAGACAAGAATGGTGGAAGATTAGTGAGGGACCAGGACACAAGGCCAATTCAACAGTTTCTAATACAGAATGACTTGGAGGAACTTGCTCACACAGGATGTTGGTTTACTTGGACTAACAAGAGACAAAATCAGGATTCCATCTTTGAAAGGCTTGATAGAGCTTTTGTCAATAGACAATGGTTAACTTCCTATCCTAAAGCAGTTATCCGAAATCTGCCCATAATGACTTCTGATCATGCACCAATCCTTGTACAGCTTAAAGACAAGAAGCATAAATCTAGGAGGCATCAAAAGTTTGAGAAATTTTGGTCCAAATGTCCTAGATCAAAAGAACTAGTTCAGAGTGCCTGGACTCAGGGTATGTTACAAGTTAGTAATCAGCAGGAGAAGCTTTCCTACCAGCTGAAATACAGCCTTATCAGCCTTCACAACTGGAGCAAGGAACACTTTAGCAACCTTGACAAATTGGTGGTCAAACTCACTGAGCAATTGGCTTCCTTGCAAATGCAGTGGGAAACCAACCTGCAGAATCAACACCTCTCTTCTCAACTGGAGAATAAAAGACATGAGTTGGAAGAGACTATACAACTCCAGCAGGATTATTGGCAGCAGAGAGCAAAACTAATATGGCTTTTTCAAGGTGATAGGAATACAAAGTACTTCCATAAGTGGGCAACTAGAAGAAAATGAAACAACTGGATTACTGAGCTATGTAATGAGGAGAGTCATTGGATACAGGAACCTGAACAAATTTCCAACCTCTTACAGCAACACCTTAAAGGAATTTATTCTGAAACACAAGAAGATGCATTGTGCTCCACTGTTTCCCCTTTTATGGGGAAACTTTTGCAGAATGTTCAAGAGGTCCTTTCACCTAAGCAAGCTGCTTCCATAGCTCAAACTTTTACTGCTTCTAAAATGTGGGAAGCTGTCAAACAAATGTCTCCTTCGAAGGCATCAGGACCTGATGGAATGCCTGCTGGTTTCTACAAAACATACAAGCACATCATTGGACAGGATGTTAAAAACACCATTATGAAAGCAATCATCCAACAACAATTCCCCAAAGAATGGAATCAAACCAACATGGTCCTCATTGCAAAGGTACTCAATCCAGTTACTCCCAGTGATTTTTGTCCAATCAGTCTTTGTAATGTAAAATACAAAATCACTACAAGGATGATAACAAATAGACTGAAATCCATAATCCCGGATCTTATTGATGAGCACTAAAATGGTTTTGTCCCTGGTAGAAATATCAGTGAGGACATCCTTCTAGCTCATGAAGTAATAGAATGCATTAAGAAAAAGGAGGGAGAGTTGGGTCTTGCTGCAATCAAATTAGACATAAGTAAAGCTTATGATTGTGTTTCTTGGCCATTTCTAAAAGCAGTGCTCACAAGAGTTGGTTTTCCATTAAAAGTGATCAAATTAATCATGTTCTGTGTCACTACTGTCACTTATTCCATCCAATTCAATGGGGGAGGGTCTTCCATATTTCACACCAACGAGGGGTCTCAGGCAGGAATGTCCACTTTCTCATATCTTGATTCTATGTCAGCAAGTATTATCTTCAGCAATAAGGGCAGAAATTCAAACCTTCCCGGGACTAGGGATCAAGGTTAGCAGAAATGCACCCAGAATTAGCCACTTAATGTATGTCGATGACTGTTTATTCTTCATAGAATGCAAGGAAACTTCCATTATGGCTTTTGCAGGATTGATTGAGGCCTATGCTGCGTTCTCAGGTCAGAAAATCAACTACCAAAAGTCTTCAATCCTATTGAGCTCAAACACTTCTCCTTCTATAAAAAGACTCATCCACACAACCGCCAAGATTACTGAGGGAAGTTTTCAGAGCAAGTACTTGAGTCTATCATTAGATTTCAAGGAAAAAGAGAGTGTGATTTTTAGAGACTTTACAGCAAGATTATCCAACAAGTTTGCAAACTGGAAAACGAAACTCCTCACTTTTGCTGGAAGGGTTACCTTGGCAAAGTCAATACTGTTAGCTATGTTCGTCTATCCAATCGGGATTTTCAAGCTTCCGGCATCCACTCTACACAAAGCTGATAGTATTATTGCCAACTTTATTTGGAAGGGAGATGCCCTGACTAAAGGGATTCATTGGAGATCACGGAAAAAGATCAATAAATCAGTGTTTCATGGAGGACTGGGATTAAAGGCCACTATGGAGTTCAATCAAGCTTTATTGGCAAAGCATGCCTGGAAGATAATTTCTGAATCGGAGTCTTTGATTTCCAGAGTATATCGAGCCAAATACTGCTCTATAGAACAATTTCCTCAGCATCAGGCACCCAACAACGCGACCTGGGGATATAAAAGTGTACTTTGGGGGGCTAGGCTCTTGCAGAATAACATCAAATGGAAAGTTGTTTCGGGAAGGAGCATTCATATTGCTGAAGATTGGATTCCAAATCACCCAAACCCCATCCATCATGAGTCTTTTTTGGCAACACACTCCAATCTTATGGTTAGTGACCTTATTCGTCCTAATGGCCAATGGAAAATTTCTTTCCTAAGATCCATATTCCCTGATCACATTATCCCATACATCACTGGAGTCTTCATTCATCCAGCAAGAGCTTCACATGGGAATCCAATCTTCAGCAATATAAACTTCTTTGGTTGAATACATCACATGAGAATTACACGGTACACTCTGGCTACCACACTGCATTGAATGGTGGTATTCATCACTTGCCCCAAACTCATCAACAGCAACAGAGAGAAACTCAAGCTTGGAAGAAATTGTGGAACTCTGGTGTGCAGCCCAAGCACAAAATGCTTTTTTGGCAGGCATTTCTGAATGCTTTGCCCTCCAAAGAGGGGTTACAAAAACGGGGAGTACAAGTGGATCTCATGTGCCACGTTGCTTCACCCATATAGAGGACAACTTACATCTTTTCT